TATGGCAAGAAAAATGAGATCCAACTTAGTAATAATAATAATAATAATAATAATAAGGGGTTTCGTAGGGTTTACTCTTTAAAACACTTTTGTCTTCACTGCGGAGATCACTGTATTTGTTATAAAGTTTTTTCTTTCTCTTCACATTTCTTCCACAAACATATTAAGACTTAAGCCAAACCTTAAAACCAAATATAATAAAAACAGATTTTTTATATACACTTTATAGCAAAATAAATTACTGGCAAAGAATTTGTGTGATCAGACAAATTGATAATATTCTCCATTCATCACTAGAAAGCAATTCAACAGTTAATAAAAGATTTTCCCAATAATAGTAAGAAAAATAAAACAAGACTTTAATTACTATTATATTTATAGAAACTCAGAGGAAAGGGAGTTTTGGTTTGGGTTTTCATTACATGCAATAAAAAAGAGTTTAAAAAGTGATAAAAAATTAATATAAATTTTAACGAAGTTTTTATTAAATACAAGGATTTGTTATCTATATCAAGAGGTAAGAGACCATTAAATCATTTGGAGTTAAATTAAAAATCGCTATAAATTTTTGTATTTTCTATATATTAATATTGTGTAATATTTCGTATTTTATATTTTGTGATCAAATCTTAAACACAATTGATTTATATTTAAGAAACTCTTTGATAAAGTAAAAGTCATTTGAAATATTAGTGAACGCCTATGAAACCTGAGTTATGGAATAATTAGCTTGTTAATTGCTATTTCGTTTACTTGTTATTAAAAATAAATAAAACTATTTAATTGTAAGTCGTTTGAGTAATAGTTGTGAAATAAATTAAGTAAAAGTAAACGCATTATAAGATAATACGATAATTACAATAATGTTTATAACATTAATTTAAAAATAAGTGTTTATTGTGTGCGATATTTATAGTTCAATGTTAAACGCTAGAAAAAGTTATAAAGTACATATTAACTTAAATTATTAATGATATTAAATAAATATATATCTTTTACACAATTTTAAAAAAATATAATTTAAGGAAAGTATAATTTTTAGAATTATATACATTTATTGAGGTTTGGGGTTTTTATAATGTTTAGATTATTATTATTATTATTATTACAATTTATTTGATACTAAACATTAACTATACAATATAATTTGGATTTAAGTATGATGATTTCATATTGTGCAATAATCATTTTAGAAAATAAAGGAACTTTGTTGCTTGATACAACTTCAACTTTCAAATGAATCATAATTTGTGAGAATTCTTCAAATATTTAAAATTTTCTAATAATTTATAAAAAAATCAAACTAATTTAAAAATATACAAATAAATATTATACTATAAAACATTATTAGTGATTAAACTAAGCACCTGGATACTAGTAAAGGGTTTATGAAACTAATACTGTACTAGGTAGTGGTATTCAATTCACTAACTTATTCTTTACTGACAAATGAATATTGAATATCTTGAAAATATGTAACTAATAAATATGTCTCAAACCAAATACTAGATCATCAATTCTAATAGTCTGCATTTTAAAAATGCTTACCCAATGTTTAGTTTTAAAAATGGATTATAAAGTTACATATGGTTTAGATTAACATTTCATGAATCAATAATAAAATTACCACTGTAAACTTTGGTCTGTACCATAATTTCTTTAATACAAGTATTGCATACGTACTTACAATAGTACAGTATACGTACGGTATTATGTACCGTAGAATATATTTATCGTGAATTTAAAACTTGATATAATCAATAGTGATATCAATAGTGATGAAAACAAACATATTATAATTTAATTAGCATTCAATTTAATTAAATTATTCTGTATCTGAAGGACAACTAAATAAAAACTTATATAATATTTTGATTATTGAGGAAATTTTTATTTTAAAATATACTATTCATTCAAATTGCAAAAAATGTTTCAAAGAATTTACAGATAAATGTGCACATAATTTGAATAAATATTCTGTAAGCAATCAATCATATGTTTTATCAATTAATTAGTCTACTTAGCATTTATTAAGCAATAAAATTTATTTTTAAAATTCTTATGACTATTTATATTGGTTTAATATTTATTACATACTGTATAATCGTTAAAATGCAGAATCAGATTAAATTAATAATAGTTGGGATTATTTTGATATAATTATATGAGCTTTAGACAATCATAGTAACTTTTGATTTTTTGAATATTTAATAAATATTTTTTGAAATAAAAACCTATGAATATTGTATGAATAATTGACTATTGAGTCAAATTATTAATTAAATATAATAAATATAAAAATTATAAAATATAAATATATGAATGATTTAATCATATAATTTATATATTGATACAGTATTATACAGTGAGATCTTAAAATTGTTTAAACTCAAATGTGAAAACATATGTNAAACATATTAAGACTTAAGCCAAACCTTAAAACCAAATATAATAAAAACAGATTTTTTATATACACTTTATAGCAAAATAAATTACTGGCAAAGAATTTGTGTGATCAGACAAATTGATAATATTCTCCATTCATCACTAGAAAGCAATTCAACAGTTAATAAAAGATTTTCCCAATAATAGTAAGAAAAATAAAACAAGACTTTAATTACTATTATATTTATAGAAACTCAGAGGAAAGGGAGTTTTGGTTTGGGTTAAGTCTTAATATGTTTGTGGAAGAAATGTGAAGAGAAAGAAAAAACTTTATAACAAATGTGAAGACAAAAGTGTTTTAAGGAGTAAACCCTATGAAACCCTTTATTATTATTATTATTATTATTATTATTATTATTATTATTATTATTGTTATTAATACTAAGTTGGATCTCATTTTTCTAGCCATACTATTAAACATAATTTCTTAATAATTGTTCGCAAAAATGTGGACAAACAAAAAATAAAAATATGAAAATGAAAAATCGCTTTAATTTCTCCTAAATATGTTTTACTTGTTATTTTTTGTAATTCATTTGTGATCTCGAAAATTAGTTTAGATTTTTGGGAGAGAGAGAAAACTATTTAATAATTAAAAAGCTGTTATTTAATTCAAGGTCCGAGACATTAAATAAGAGACAAAACAAAAAATAAAAGTAATAAAATTAAATAACAAAAAAGTCTAAGAAAACTTTTTTATATACTGTTTTATATAGTTTATGTTACAGACAGTTGTGTGTGTGCAGTCAGTTTCAGGGTTAATTTTCACTGAAAATACTCATGTAATTAATTATATTGTTTTAAGATTAAGTTTTCCCCACTTTTCTCAATTGCATACTATTATCCAAATAAAAGGCGATATAATTATAATCTCAACTCGTTTTATGTGTCGCATAATTTATATGGTTTTTATGAAAATTTAATTTCACTTTAGATTTTCAGTCACTTTTTATTAATATTATTATTCAAGTAATTATACGCTTATTACTCGACGCTATAGTTTATAACACACAAACACTTTCACACAAGAAAAATACCCGTAAAAGTGTATTTTAAATTATGTTATTATTATTTAATTAGCAGTTGCATTCACATTTATCTAATTTTTAGAGTTTTTTCCATAATTAAAAATATTTATTACAATAATAATTAAAACTCTCTGTAATTATTCACGTTTTATGTTCAGAGACCTCTTCATTACGTATGACAACTAATTAAAAATCTTAAGATATTTTAAAACTAGTCTAATATAATAACTTTATACATAAAATGTTTTAAAAGTAAATTCAATGTTCAGTGCATTTGTCTAAACTTTGCTACAAATATGAATTACTATTTTATTTGCTATTACTTCTTATGCATTATATATACTGTAATAACAATTAGACTATAATTCAATTGAAAATACCCACTATAACATAATTAATGTTTATATTTTCACTAAATGCAATAATAAATTAAAGTCAACCATATTTCTTAATTCACACAATTAAATCATACCATATTGTAATTAATTAAAATAAATGATATTTTATTTGAGCTAACTTAAGTCATTTGAAAGTTATGTCAAAATAATGTATGTTAAATTGTATAATTGTTGAATTATATTTATTTTTAAGCTTAAATTTATAATGATTTTTATAAAATTTAATATATTTATTTTTTATAATAATTTGCATTGCATTCAATGACTTATTAATTAAATAATAGTTATATAAATTCCCATTGCATTGTTAGTGACCTGGATTATTGTCATTTATTACTTCTGTCAATTAATTCATAATAATTCAAACGACATAATTATGAAAATAAATTATTACTTTTAATCATATTTTCAAATACATTAATTATCATTAGAAAGCACATTTTTGATGTGATTATACTGGATATTTGTAATGAATTGTATTTTAAAATAATTTTATTTCATCTCTTCCTTAATCAACATTTGTTTTATTATTTAATTAGATATTTATGTAGTTTTTCGTTATAAAAATTAAATTATTATATAAAATAAAAGATCAAAAGGAAACTCTAAATAAAATCATTTGTGGAATGAAGTGATAATAATTATTCAGACAAAACAAACAAAATAAATATACAAAAAAGTAATACAAAAATCGCAAAATTATGTGAAAATATTCAAATAATTCTTAGTATTTAGATTAACTATTGTTATGATAGTTATAAATATAGACTTTTAAAGGAAAGTTTTGTCTTGAAATGAAAAAGTTATGTGAATTTTATTATTATTTATAGAGAACTTGACATTAATTTTGCAAACAAATAGAAAGCGATAATAATTATACAATTTTACGTGTTTTTATGATTTTCACAAAACATATCTAAACATTATTCTCCGAGATTTTTATCTAAAATATATTATACTCTTAAAAACGAGAGGAAAATATTAATATTTATATAATCATTTGTATGTACAGTACAAATAAATTTAGGCAAACAAATACAATAATATTAAAAAATAATAATTGCTGTCATGAGAGATATTAACTGACAATTTGTCCCATAAATGACACCAAAAAGTGTGTGTTTTTTAGTTAATATTTATGAACAAAGTCTTCCTCATCTTCATCCTCGACATCATTATCACTGCAATGACCACCAGATAGTGACAGACCATTGGACGAGTAGCCGTTCATGAGGGCGGACACAGTGGACGAGCGTTTGCCGCCGTTTTGCTGATGCTTTTCCCTCTTGTGTTTTGTCCGTCGATTCTGAAACCAGACCTTAATCTGGGTTTCGCTGAGATTGAGATCCCGGGCCAGTTGTTTGCGCTCACAGCCCACCACATATCGGTTGCGCTCAAAGATCTCCTCCAGTCTTAACAGCTGTCCCGGACTGAAAGCCGTGCGAATCCTTTTGGGCTTTCGGTACGAGTTGAACGACGGCTGACAACACGTGTCCGGGCTTTTTGAGGACAACATCTTGTAATCTATTGGGCAATGGATTTGAAATTTTCATTATTTGTGTTTTTTTAATCACTTCAATAAACACTTGATAATAAGATTCAGTAATAAGTTATAATATATAAATTATTTATCATGTATTCAATGGAAATAATGAAGATTTTTATTAATTCAACATTTATTCATTCAATAAGTTATTTATTGACTGAATAATGAAAAATTGCATGCCTCAAAAGTTATTACAAAATTTGTGTTTAAATTAAAAGATTATCAATGATTGACGTATTGATTAAATGTAAATGTCATTTTATTTATAACTTATTTTCAAAATTAATTCATAAAAAGATGATTAATAAAATTTGTTTTAAAATGAAAAATAAAAATTCGATAAAATATTTTTTAAACGTTGCAATATTTATAAATAATATGTTCAGTAGCAAATAATATTTATCCTTAGCAGACAACAATGGGTATTTTAAAACTACAATATATTATATTGTCTATGTGACACTTCCATAATAGCAATTACTTGTCAATATGATTATCATTTGTTAGGAAATTTAATTGTAATGAATAATGTTATCGATTATTTAAATAAAGAAAGTTGGTTGTGCATAAACAATATTACCATAAAATCTAAAGTATACCATATAAAACGATAGGTATTTGCATAATATGCATATAGTACATATGTATTATATCCTGGTAATTATATAAATACTATATTGTATTTTTGAAAGCTAAAAAGCATTACAATCTAAATATAGAATCATACATAAATGGTATGTCATATTATGCTTTTAAAATATATTTTTAAAAATAATGTCTCTTACAATTAATACAAGATTTATAAGGATTGTTAGTTAAACTAGTCGGCAAATTGAATAATTAAATTATTTTCATTAATTGGATAAATATCGTCAATTTGGAAAAACTTTTTGAGTAGTATAGGTAAACATTATAATTAGTTAATTATATTCTCTTTGGTATTTCAATTAATTAATTCAACAAAAATATTTTGTGTTAATTTATTGACTGATAGAAACATCCGTTTTATGATTATTCTGTAATTTCTTTACATTTCGGAAACACATCAAACAAATTGAATTAATGGTGAAAAAGGTTTTCTGAAAACAAATTAAAATTATAAATAGGCTGCAACTGGAAATCCAACTAAAAAATAATACTATTTAGATAAAAGTATTTTGTCCACATAGTATATAAAACTTAATACGATAATACGATATTAGTTTCTTAAAGTTATCGACATTTAATAAAAACAACATAAAATGCTCTTAGATTATTGTCGATCAAAATGTTAACAAATGTTTAGAAAATTATATTTTAAAATAGGTTTATCACATATAAATTAATAAATAATAATTGAAGCTATTTTAGAAATGGCATTCAAAACACATAGTATTGAGGTTGTCTACAAACAGATAATCATAAATTCAATTATAATATAATTTACATGAAATCTATGAGAAAATATTTCTTTGTAAACAGTTTTGATATCCAATTATTTAATAGTCTTTCCTCAAAATATAGTTATAAATGAATGGACGGTAGAAAATGTTGTTTATTTCAAATTAAACCGTAATTTGAATGCTGAGACAAATCACCTCACAATACATACCCTATGTTTTGTGTTTTAATATTAATAAATACTTTTCAGTTAATGACAAATAAATTTCAGTCTCTGTTAACACATAATAACATATATTAGAAATTATTTGCATATTATGTAATGACTGAGTGTTGACTAAATGGAGAGACAATTTAAAAATCATTTGAGAGATTAAAATAAAAACTATTAACTATTTAGTTGTGTTGTGTATTAAAGTATATTTATGCTTATAAAAAAATATTTCAATCTAAATGATTATTATCTGATAAAAAGGTATTTATTTAAAATAGCTATGCGTTAGGCATCTACTTAATTGTTATTCATAGAGTTTTTTAAGAGTGGAAAAGTACTTTGTTTGTCATACTTTGTTTTTAGTATTAAGTAAATTTTACTAAACAAGGGGAAAAGTGGTTTAAAAATATGTTGTTTAACGAAAATTTAATTATTTATACAAAATATCTTTGCAAGTTTGTTGTATAAATATATAAATATTCGTGGTCACAAATTATGAAAAGTGAAATGAATGTTGTATGCCTAGTATCTCCTCAACATTATCTACTTTGATAACTTTAATAAATGTTTGCTAAACGTATCATCAAAAGTACATTTAAACTGAAAACATTAAATTACACATATTATTGACAAACTTTCTCTCTCTCTCTTTCTCTCTCTCTCTCTCTCTCTCCTCTATAATGATATAATGATTTGCAGTTAATTTAATATCTAATAAAATTAATTTCCAATTAATAACATTCATAATTTAAGGTAAAAAATACATTTAATGTATAGTTTATAAATAAAATATTATTTACTCCAAATTGTTTTGACATTTGAATAGTTGCCTAATAAGACTAGAGATTAATGAATTTAAATGATAGATAAGTTATATTTAAATTAAATATATGTTGTATGAAAAACGTTAAATTCTTGACTACATGGCATAAGTCCAGATAGTTTTCTAATAAATCATACACTGTTTAAATGATTTGTTTCGGAAAAATGTTCAAATGACTCATAATTTTTAATAATCATTTCATATAATATGATGTTGAGCAATTAATGATGTAAATGATAAATAAATTTCACTTTTAGTTCATAAAATTTCAATACAATAATTGTTAATAAAATTTCCCTAATTTCTGCTATTGAACTGATCTCAACATTTGATTTATAGCTATATTTTGCGATTAATTTATAAGTATATTATTATTATATTATACGTTTTTATAATATATAATATATAATATAAAATTATTCACATAATATCTAATTTATTCCCTTTTATGCAATTAAAATAATATATAATAAACTGCTAAACATTTATTAAAAGATAAACTTTTCAAAACTTTTTATCATTAATTAATAAAATTTTGTTTTATATAATTATAAGTATTGCCAATTATTGTGAAAGAGTTTGCTTTTTGTTTGTTTGATTAAAAATTATTATTTTATTGTGTTTAATATCTAATTAACATTTAAAATGTTGTTTGTTTTAAAGTAAACCAAACAAATTAATTATCTATTCATCTCTCGTATGATTTAATTAAGAGCTAAAAATCAATATACAGTCCGAGAGATAATCAAAACACAATTAATTAAAACAGT